CTCAGCACTGAGTCGGCTTATCACTCTCCTCCCCCACCCCCACCCCCACCCACTCATGCATGTGCTTTCTCTCTCTAAAATAAATAAATTTTTTTAAATTAGTAAATGGAGGAGAGGGGAAGGGGAATGTATGAAATATTTTAATTCATTTTTACTTTAGCATAAAAAATTTCAAATATATTCTTGAGAGCCACTTACTTGACCTAAGTAGGTTGGATGGATTCATTGAGAGTGCATGAGGGAACTGGGGACCTGAAGGAGAGCCTTCAAATATAAGACAAGGGGTGGGGGAAAGGAAGGCAAACTGTAGGAAGTTTCATTAACTTAATAATTTTGTCATGGACCAACCTGGTTCCCTATTATTGTAGCCATTGCCAGAGGACTCCATTCACCAAGGAATTTGTTATCTCAGGAATATGAGAGCAGGATTCAGTGTATAATCAAGTAGTAATGCTTGGGAAATGCTCAAGAAACCTTTCTCAGCATCCTCTAGATGCCAGAAAACAGAGAGTCAAATCTGGGGTTATAAGAATGATATATGGAGTAAAATAGTAAAATCTGCCATTCCAAGTTTGACACCTATAATTTAGTGTTAGAATCTCAGACTTTGGTCTACGGCCATACCACCCGGAACGCGCCCGATCTCGTCTGATCTCGGAAGCTAAGCAGGGTCGGGCCTGGTTAGTACTTGGATGGGAGAATCTCAGACTTTGATAGAACTTGGAGGTCAAAGAAAATACAAAAGTCATGGAATAGTAGTTGGTATTCTAAATACAGATCTTGGGTTGCCATTATTGAAATTCCTAAAGTAAAATTTCTAGTTGTGATTTAGGAATCTAATTATAGGGGGTGCCTGTGTCAGCTCTGCCAGTTAAGTGCCCAACTCCTGATTTGGACTCAGGTTGTGAGATCTAGCCCCGGTTGGGCTCCACCCCCATGGAGATTCTTTCTCCCCCTCTCCCCTCCGCCCCTCCACATCCCCTTTCTCTCTCTCTAAAAAAGACAAAATATAAGAAAAGTAATATAATTACAGGACTCAAATTCAAAGAGTAGAGCCTATGCTTTCATAGCAGAATTTTAAGTTCCAGTTAGTGGCTGAGTTCTGTTGGTAGAATGAATAGAGAATAGAACCTGAAGTTTCAGTAGTAGATATTGCAGTTCAGTATCCAAATCTCGGGCTCTGAATTCAAAGCCTAGAGTTCTAATAGTAAAATGTCAGGTTGAGAGTAAAATCTAGAGGTCCAATAGCATTTCAGTTTCAGGGAAAGAACCTAGAGTTCCTGAACTGGAACCTGGAGTTACAAGATTAGAACATGGAATTATATTATTAGAATCTTGGATTTTGAGATTGGAACTTTAAGTTCCTATAATACAGTACTAAAATTTGAAGGCTTAGCTTGAAATACAAGATAAGATATGGGATTCAGGTATCCCTGGGTGGCGCAGCGGTTTGGTGCCTGCCTTTGGCCGAGGGTGCGATCCTGGAGACCGGGGATCGAGTCCCACATCGGGCTCCCGGTGCATGGAGCCTGCTTCTCCCTCTGCCTGTGTCTCTGCCTCTCTCTCTTTCTGTGTGTGACTATCATAAATAAATAAAAATTTTAAAAAAATTAAAAAAAAAGATATGGGATTCAGATAGCACATCTTGAGTTTCAGTAGAGAATCTTGAGGTGGCCTAATGGAACCTTGAGGTGCAATATTAAATTATGAAATTTTGAAATTGGAATCTAGCTTACTAGATTACTATTAGAATCAGCAATAATGCTAATGGCTAACATTTATTAAATGCTTACTATGCCAAGCATTGTTCTAAGTGCTTTACATGTATTATTATTGTTATTATTACTACATTTAATGCTCATAAAAAATCTTCAAGGTGAGTTCTATTATTACTATTTCTATTTTACAAATGAAATACTGAGGCACAGAGAAGTTAAATAACTTTCCAAAGGTCACATGCCTGGGAAGCACAGAGATAGTATCTGACCACAAGTTCTGTATCTCTAAAGCACATGCATTTAACCACTATGGTAAGTACCTCTAGATACTAGAGTCTAGAAATTTAAATTTAGTAAAGCTTGAGGTTTAACAAATAGAACCTGGAGTTACTCTAATAAAAATTATGGTGCCAATAGCAGCATCTTGAATACTCTTTATATCCAAAGATAGAATGAGGGACTTACCACAATAGAATCTGGGATTCCAAACATAAATTATTCATTTCTGAAATCAGAGTCTCAAATGAAAGATCTCAATTTAGTCTCAATAATGGAAGCCCAAAATTCTACTATCAGAATTTCAGCCTCAACTTCTGGTCTAATCCCAATAATAGAATCTGTGTTTCTGAGACTAAAGTATAAGTTACTATAGTAGAATTTTAGTTTCTGAGAATGAAATCTAGAGTTTTAATAATGGAACCTTCAGGGGAGACAAAGTCCTAGGGTTTTAATAGTAGAATCTAAAGTTATTAAAGTAGATTCTTGAGTTCCAAGATTGGAAACTGAGATTCCAATAATGAAATCTTAAATTGTAATAGCAGAATATAATGTCCAAAATTAAGATCTTGAGTTCAAAGAATGTAACCTTTTGTTCCAAAAGTGAGATATGTGATTCCAAAAATAGAACCTGAAGTTCCAATGTTAGAATCTTGAGCCTTGGGCAGCCTGAGTGGCTTAGAGGTTGGTTTAGCACTGCCTTCAGCCTAGGGCGTGATCCTAGAGACCTGGCATCCCTGCATGTAGCCTGCTTCTCCCTCTGCCTGTGTTTCTACCTCTCTCTCTCTCTGTTTCTCATGAATAAATAAATACCATCTTAAAAAAAAATAATAATCTTGAGCCTTGGGGCGCCTGGGTGGCTCAGTCAGTTAAGTGTCTGTGTTTAGCTCAGGTCATGGCCCAGGGTTCTGGGATTGAGCCCTGCATTGGGCTCCCTGCTCAGTGCGGAGCCTCCGTCTCTCTCTCTCCCTCTGCCTGCTGCTTCCCCTGCTTGTGCGCTCCCTCCTTCTCTGTCAAATAGATAAAAATAATCTTTTAAAAAAAATCTTGAGCCTTGACTGAGAATCTTGAGAATCTGAGGTTATTAGAATATTAGAATATGGAATTTGGGAAATAGAATCTGGAGTTGCCAAAATAGGAATTATAATTCCAAAAGCAGCATCTTGGATTGTAATAGAGGGATTTGTTTGTCCATTGGGAGAATACTGGACTCAAAGAATACAACCTAGAATTTTGAACACAAATTATTAGGTTCCTAGAGTAGAATCTGTAGTCCAACAGTAGAATGATGGTGAAATATGGACTTCTAGTTGTAGAATCCGGTATTCTCAGACCTGGAGGTCCAATATTAGAATCTGGGTTTTGCAGAATAGAACCTGGGAATTTCCATAGAACAATCTAGAGTTGCCATTGAAGAATTCTGGGACTGAAAGTAGAACTTGGAGTTATATTTGGCAAAATCTTGATAGAGTTGTTTTCATCTCTGTTTTCAACACTTATCCTTTATTAATAGCGAATTTATTGTGCCTCGGCAACAATCATTTTTCCTGTTCACTAAGGGAGGACTTTTTTTTAATTTAAGATTTTATTTTTGGGCACCTGGGTGGCTCAGTTGGTTAAGTGCCTACCTTCAGGTCAGATCATGATCCCAGGGTCCTGGGATTGAGTCCAGCATCAGCCTTCCTGCTCAGAGGGGAGCCTGCTTCTCTCTCTGCCCCTACTTGTGAGCTCTTGCTCTCTTTCTCTCTCTGTCAAATAAATAAATAAAATCTTTTTAAAAGTTTATTTTCAAGTGATCTCTATGTCCAACATGGGCTTGAACTCACATCTCCAAGATCAAGAAGATTCACATGACCTACAGACTGAGCCAACTAGGCACCCCTCAATTAGGCAGGACTCTTAATCAGAGAGTACGATTTTGACTGCTACTTTCAGAAGTATAGAATTGACTGTAGCTTTCCAGTGCTATTTGGCTCTAGATGAGAAGTCTTCCAATCAGTGAGCCATGTGATTAGGCTTATGATATGTGCTCTGAGGCATTCCAAAGAGAAGACCCTGTCCTCATCCTGAGAAGCTAACCATGAATAAGACAGTATAAGCCCAATATAGAGTAGAATGTAGTCCAGCGCTAAACTGCGGGGCTGGCATTATTTAAATGGAAGGAAAGAGATCAGTATAGGCTCAACAGTCAGGAATGCTCCACAGAGGAGCCTTTCAAGGCATTTCAAAGGTAGGTAGGTAGGTAGGTAGGAAGGTTAGGTAGAAAGAAAAGAAAAGAAAAAAAGAAAAGAAAAGAAAAGAGAAAAAGAAAGAAAAGAAAGAGAAAAAGAAAGAAAGAAAGAAAGAAAGAAAAGAAAGAAAAGAAAGAAAAGAAAGAGAAAGAGAAAGAAAGAAAGGAGAAAAAGAAAGAAAGAAAGAAAGAAAGAAAGAAAGAAAGAAAGAAAGAAAGAAAGGAGAAAAGAGAAAGAAAGAAAGAAAGAAAGAGAAAATGAAAGAAAGAAGAAGGAAGGGAAGGAAGGAGGGAAGGAAGGAAGGAACGAAGGAAGGAAGGAAGGAAGGAAGGAAGGAAGGAAGGAAGAAAGAAAGGCAAAAAAGGCAGGGCATGTCAGGGGGGAAAATACTCAAAGAAAACATGGAAGTATGATCTAACATGGTATGAACTAGCAATTTTTCAGCAAAGAAATATTTATGGAGTGCCTGCCTGCTACTTACCAGGCACAGTGTAGGCCTTGGAAAAAGAAAAAGAAATCACAAGTAGTTTCTGCCCCTGAGGAAATCATGTGGAAAAACAAGTATGATGACTTTAGCATCAGACATACCTGGGTTTAAAAAGCAGGCTCATTAACCTACTAGCTGTGCCACTAAGCAAGCACCTTTATCTTCAAGCTCGTCTCTTCCTTTGTACAGAGAGGATAATGATGTCTTCGTTAAACATTGTTGTAAGTAGTGCTCTTTTTTCTCTACATTCTCACTGACACTTGTTGTTTCTTGTATTTTTTATTTTAGGCTGGCGTATTATTATTATTTGCTGAACCATTTGAGAGCAAGCTGCAGGCATCATGACCTTTTACCCATAAATAACTTCGGTGTTTATCTCCTAAGAAAAAGGACATTTTCAAATATATCATAATACAATTCTCAATTTCAGGAAAGTTTACATTTGTTAAATATTTTTGTCTAATATATAGTCCTTATGTAATTTTCACTCATTGTCCCACTGATATCCCTTAGGTCAAAAAACAACTCTCCACAAATATTTTCACTTTTCTACATGGTTAGGGCTTTCAGAGAAAAAAAAAATCTGTCAAAGCTGGTTTGTATAGCAACCCTAAAAAGAGACTTCTGGAGAGATAAAAAGTCTTACCTTCCCCTCTCCTCAGCTGCTTGTTTACATTTGCAAAGGTGAAGTAGAGATCATTCCCACCTTTCCCCAGATGGGATTTGCTTACATTCTAAAGCCACGATCTGTTTGTCCCTCTCTGGAAGGAGGGATGGGTAGCTATGAAGGTCATTCTAGATAGACTCTGAGATTCATAATTTTGGAGTTTCTCTTACATAGTACAAACTCCATGGTGCAAACTTCCCATAGTGTAAGCAGATGACACCAGACCCTTTTTCTGTCACCCTATGGGAAAGTAGGGCATAGGAAATAGGTTCTAAGATTGCTGTGTTAGTAAAAGCAGTTGCTCTTTGATACAGAGATCTGGAGGTTTCGTGTGTGTGTGTGAGTGAGTGTGTATAACTATACAAGTAAGGTAACATCTCAGACCCTTTGCAGTTTGGACTTAACACTTTATAGCTTTTGTTCCTCCCCAGATCCAGGATCTTATTGGGGACTCACATGTTGCATTTCCTTTGCCCAGTCTCTTTTAATATTCACCCTTTAACTTTCCTTTGTCATTCATCATACCAATACTTGTCAAGAGTCTATAGCATTTATTCCATAGTTCCCTTCTTTCCTACACATAAAAAAGTATACAATATCTAATCTTCTGTACCGTGCTTTATCACTTAATAGTATAACCCAAAGATTGTGCTCTATTAGTGTATTGAAATCCTTTTTTTATGGCTATATAGTATTTCATTGATTGGGTATCCTATTTCCCGACTATGTAGCATATACAGTAGGTATTCAGTGAGTGTTTGTTGGGGAAGTGGGTGATTCAAAAAGAAAAAAAGAACAAAAGAAGTGAATGTAGAACAGTTGAGCAGAAGAGTAATATATGGCCTAGAAAGAGAATAATTTGGGGTCAGTCAGACGGGGGATACAAATCCAGCACTCTTGGTGTTAGGGGGTTTGGCACAGGAGTTAAGCAAGCAAGCTCTGAAACCGGAGTACCTAGGTTAGACTCTACCACTTACTTAGCTGTGTTTCCTTGAGAAGACTACTGAATGAATTGTGCTTCAGCTTCCTCATCTGTAAGATGGAAATGATAGAGCACTTACTTCATACAGTTGTTGTGAGAACTCAAGAAATATAAGCTATACTTTATATGTACAGCTCAATAAATATTAGCTGTACTTTATAGCTATAATGTTTCTAAACTCCAGTTTCTTCATGTATAAAAAAGGGCTAGTAATACCCATTTGACAGGGAAGCTTTTGGGGCTAGGTGATATGATGTCTGTAAGGCACCTAGTATTGTGATGAGCACAGAGAAGCAATCATTAAATGGTAGCCTGCGAGGCAAGGGGACAGAGGAGGAACAAGATTACTGGGAGGATTATCAGTACTGCAAGCTCCCTGAGGATTGTACTGTTTATCTTATCCATTAACTCAGGCCCAAACAAACACAATACCTGTCACGTTGGCTTTGGAGTTAGACAAACCTATTTGTGTTCAAATTCCAGCTGGTCACCTGCAAGCTGTGTGATCTTGAACAAGTTACTCAACCTTTCTGATCCGTATTTTCCCCACTGATAAAACAGGAACAATAGGGGCAGCCTGGGTGGCTCAGCGGTTTAGCGCCTGCCTTCAGCCCTGGGCGTGATCCTGGAGACCTAGGATCCCTGCATGGAGCCTGCTTCTCCCTCTGCCTGTGTCTCTGCCTCTCTCCCTCTTTGTGTCTCTCATGAATAAATAAAATCTTAAAAAAAAAAAACAAACAAAAAACAGGGACAATAGTACCTATCTCAGGATTTTTGTTGGAATTAAATAGAATGTTGAATGTAAACCTATCTTATCTCACCTTAGATGATGATGATTTAAAAAAAAAAAGGCTGATGCCTGCCCATGTACATATGCAATACAAAATATTTTTCTGATTACCTTCCTATGGTAGCCATGAGAATGTGACTTGCAAGCCTCTAACTCAGTGCCACTTCCAATTTTGCCTCTAAAACAGGACTTTAAGGGATGCATGGGTGGTGGTTGAGTGTCTGCCTTTGGCTCAGGTCATGATCCCGGGGTCTCAGGATCAAGTCCCACATGGGGCTCCCCGTGAGGAGCCTGCTTCTCCCTCTGCCTATGTCTCTCCCTCTATCTCTGTGTCTTTCATGAATAAATAAAATCTTTCAAAAAATAAATAAAACAGGACTTTTAAAGTGCCTGGAGATATAAGTCAAAATTAAATTCTTCAACTTCATTGAACAAGGTCATCTTAAAAAGCTATGTAGTTTAGTAAACTTGAGGTCATGATTGAATAATGTTCTGGGGGATAGAGCACAATCAAAGCTGTGGAAAACTTCACATCCTCAAGTGTTCCTTCTATTTTATTTATTTATTTTTTTTTTCCTTCTATTTTATTAGGCTCAGGCTTATTGGTTAAGGAAATGACTCTCACAAGCACCTGCCAAATGAGTTTCATTGTTCTGCTTTATTACCACCACCCCAAAACATCCCTCAAACCTGTGAGGGAAGGAAGAAAAGGCCAATAAGGGGCAAAATAACACAAGTGGCAGGATAAGAATCCTCTTGTACCCTTCATGAATGTCAGGACCGGGTAGCCCCTGCTGCAGGCAACCAGTGTCTCTGGCAGATAGCCGAGAGTTTTGAGGAAGCCGTGTAACACAGAGCCATCTCTGTGTCCTGTTTGCTGTCCCGTTTTTTCTAGGAGAAGGAGATGGACAAGATATCCCAATACCACTATAAGGCCTAATTAGACAATGAGCATTGGAAAGTTTATCAGTGGCTTAGATTCTGCCTCTCTGGATTCAGTGATAGTCAAGATAACCTGACCTTGGTGGTCTCTCATTCCACAAAGAATCCATAAGATATGAATATTCTTATACTCATTTTGTAAAACAAATGTCACACTTTCACAAACATTTTTTTGTGATCCTGAAAAGAATTTTGATTTATTACTTGGCATATATTTTGCAAAAATTAGGAAGACATATATTAAAATCCAACATGTAATATTCAGTCATAATAGAAACCTGACAGTAAAATAGAAATCTGGCATCTAAGGACCAATTTTCTCCCTGTGCCTCATAGTGATATAGTTCCTTTGTAAGTTATTGAATGGAGTAGCAAAAACCAGATTTGAATTTATATCTAATTCCCAGACACTTTTCATTTTGTTTGGCCATGTTGTGCTTAAAAGTAGTCCTTTCTAAATCCCATGAAAATTATTCTGTGAGAGGAATAGATGCTAATGAGTAAAATAGAAAGCTGTCATTTTTGTGCAAAGCTAATGCACTGACCCTCCATAGATGTTAAATAACAATGGTAGTAGTCCACCACTGGCAGTGGGCTTAGAATTTACAGAATCACACAGAATTCTAGGGGGTAGAAAAAGATCATTAAAGTGATCAAATCTAGGGATTTTCAAAGATGTTTAGGTAATAGTGGTCCTGGAAGTCACAGTGCTCTTTGCAAAACATCACAGATTACTGAGAACTAAAATCATTATATAAAGAACAAATGATTTCACTAGCAGACACAGCATGGTGACCCAGCCTTTGAAGTCTCACAGATCTGAATTTTCCATTCAGTAGCTTGTGACTTTGAGTAAATTAATAACTCAGATTAGTTAACCTTCCTGTGCCTCTGACCCCCCACCATGTGAGAAATGGGGAAAGCAAATCCCTGTTTCAGCATTGTTAAGGATTACTTTTGACATGTGTATGGTTTACATATTGACAAGTGGTAGCTGTAGGTCCATAATTTTGTATCCAAAATGCTCAGAGCCAGATTTTAGAATTAGGAATTCTTTGGGTTTAAAAAATGAAACATAGGACATAGGTTATATAAGTAAGACCCCAGGTGATGCAGTACCCTATAATCCAACATTTTTATGTTTCTGGAATTTGTACCACAGTTATTAAAAATATACTTTTTTTCCCAAACCATCTTGAATTTAGTTGGGATTTTGGACTTGTGGATAAGGGATTGTAAACATGTATTATTATGTGAAGATAATGTGACTATTATATATATGTAGCTCTCCAAAGTTTAAGAAAATGTGTTTTTTTATGAAGGATGTATTGGTGCCACATTCAAATCCTTTTTACCAGTTGATGCATACATTCTTCAGTAGCTGCCCGTGTTGGTTAACAACTCACAGTTTAAAAAAAATAAAATAAATAAAATAAAATAAAATAAAATAAATAAAAAATAACAACAAAAAAACAACTCAGTTTTTCCCCTTCTTGGAAACTTGTCCTAAGCCAAACAAGAGCCATCTCTCTTGCGAGCAAGGGAAGTGGGGAGAACTGTCAATGGCCCTCTGACATAGTCTCATGAGTGAAGAGATTAATTTTGGGGTACAGTTCTTGTTTCAGAGTTTCCCTGTAGGATTAGATTGAAGCTGGTCTTCAAATCTACACTATTACTTAGTTTTTCTCTCATCTTCTCTCTCCTCATTTGAGCAAATCCCCCAATAAATCACTTGAACCAGAATCCCTATCTCAGGCTCTGCTTCTAGGGAACCTAAGGTATTTGTTGCTAAGAGTGCTCCTAGAAAGCAGATCCTAATGATGGGATCCTGGAATTGGATCACACAAGGACTGTGGTAGATGGAGTATGAGATTCCCTGGCATTCTGTAGATGTAACTGCGGTCTTTCATCTGTAGTGATTTGGGGTGGATATAGGTAGAAGGGAGGGGATGCTCCATACAACAGGTGCAATGTTTCAAGCATTTGAAAGATATATGGGAAATAACAACCATAAGAATTGTGGAAGTGGGTAACTGTTGCTAAGAGCCATTAACTGATGAAAGATAATGTCAAACTCAGATCTGTTAATCAACAATTCTAGCAAAGGACCTCATTGTTAGCATCATCTCTTGGGGCACCTGGGTGGTGCCTATACTAGTCTAAGATCTTATTACCACTGTTACTGAGAATAGTTATCGCCATTGTTACTATACTGAGAATTCAGCCTTTTCTAAAATTCTCCAATTCTCACAATTCTGCTGTGTAATTAACATTCTCTGATCATTGGGTGTAAGAGAAAAGGGTCTTCTTATTTTTTTGCCTTTTTAAAAAGATGTATTTATTTGACAGAGACAGTAGGAGAGGCAGAGAGAGAGGGAGAGAATCTCAAGCAGACTCCTCAGTGAGTGTGGAACCCCATGCCAGGTTCAAGCTCACAACCCTGAGATCATGACTCAAGCCAAAACCAAGAGTCAAACATCAGGTGTGCCCCTATTTTTTTTTTTAAATGATATCTACAGTGTGAGGCTCAAACTCATGACCCTGGGATCAAGAGTCAAATGCTCTTCCAACTGAGGCAGCCAGGCACCTCTAGACACTTGATTTTTTTTTTTTTTTAACAGAAAAAGTGTGACTGCAGGATAAATTCATCACCACTTTGCTCAAGTTTACAGAATATTTTTGACAAGGTATGCCTAAAAGATGTCAAAATTTTCAGAAGAAATACCACTGTCAAGGAGATCAACATATGCAACCTAAGAGTTTTTTCCCAAACACAACTAAGGATCCTGTCCTGGGTATGCAATATATGAAGTTTATAAAGTCAGTTCCTGAATATACAAAAAATTACAAATCCTCATTTTTAAAAAGGCTTCAAACTTGGGCATCTGGGTGGCTCAGTGGTTGAGTGTCTGCCTTTGGCTCGGGTTGTGATCCCAGGATCCTGGGATCAATTCCCGCACCAGCCTCCCCAAGGGGAGCCTGCTTCTCCCTCTATGTCTCTGCTTCTTTCATGAATAAATAAAATCTTTAAAATAAAAAAAAAGCTTCAAACTTCTTAAATATGTCTTAAGATAGGTTTGACCTTTAGGCTAACATTGAGTGATATTTGAATATATATGAGGTTATCTGTCTATAGGCCACATACACATAATTTTCATTTCAATAAACATTGTTGAATGAGATGTTTAGCATTTAGACTCTTGAATTTGATAGATCTAGACTGGAACCCTTGTTCTCCCACCGATCAGTTGTGTAACTTTTGCACCTTCCCTAAACCATTTTTTTTTTCCTCTTTAAAGTAGGACTGGGGTGCTTGGCTGGCTTAGTTGGTAGAACATGCAACTCTTGATCTTGGGTTCATGAATTTAAGCCCCACGTTGGATGTAGAATTTACTTTAAAAATAAGTAAAAATAAAAAAGGACTGGAATATCTGTCCCACTGGACTGTTTGAGAGTTCAATGAGAGAACTCTATATCCAATGGTTAAGTATTCAGTATGTATTAGTTATTATGATCATGAGCAGACTACACTTTGGTCACTCTGCTAGATGTTGGGGATAAAAGATGTATGACACTCCATTTGCCCTCAAGGTGCTCACAATCTAGATGGGGAAAGTATAAAGAAAATCAAATAATCTGAATATTGTACTATAGTAAAAATACATGCAAAGGAATGGAAGCTTGAAACAGAATGGCATGTTGAAGATAAATGTTTAAAGGCTATATGATATGCTCAGATATGAAATTTAGGAACTTGGTCTCCTGTGTAGAGGATGAATTGAAGAGAGTGAATCATAAGCAAAACCAATGGGGAGGCTATGGTAATCTAGGGAAACTCTTATGTGGCAGAGCAGTAATGGTTGAACTGGACGGTAGCAGTGCAGAATGGAGCTTTGCTGTGCCTACAACCATGAGCCCTTCTGCCAGGGCATAGGGGATGACACACTTGAGTCATCTTTCATCTTCACGTTAACCATTTAAGAGGTTCTAAGGAATCTTGTTTGACCATTTTTCAGGTACCATTTTACAGAAGAAGAAACAGGCTCAGAGAGCAAGGCCATCACTGCACTATTGCAGAGGCACTATTCACACTGTAATTTATGAAAATGGTGTTCCTGGGCAGCCCGGGTGGCTCAGCGGTTTAGCGCGGCCTTCAGCCCAGGGCCTGATCCTGGAGTAGTCCCACATCGGGCTCCCTGCATGGAGCCTGCTTGTGTGTGCGTCTCTGCCTCTCTCTCTCTCTCATGAATAAATAAAATCTTAAAAAAAAAAAAAAAAAAAAAGAAAAGAAAAGAAAATGGTGTTCCCTGGAACACAACAAATATGAATGATGGCCTCTAAAGTTGTGCATCACAGCAGCCATGATGGAAAGGTTACAGCATGTAAATAATGGAACTGATTTCTATCTAAAAACTTGTGCATTTCCTACTATATCATACTATGTCTAATGATGATGTCATTTATGGATATAGAGCATAGGTAAATTAAACACTGAATTACAACAAAGAAACTAATCAAATACATCCCATTATGGGTTTTCATAGGAACCTCGTATGCATATTAAAATTAATTTAATGGAATTCCATAAATACTAGTTACTTAACACATCAAAATGCTGGATGTATTCTTAAACCATTACTTAATAGGTAAGGTAGGATAAAACAAGAGTAGGGTCCTAACTATTTACTTTGGGCTTCCCCAAGAGAGATAAACAAGGAGCTTCACATAAATGGAAAGGACTTCTCATAAAATGTTAAGACCATGAATCAATTTTGTACAGATGTTTCTTGAATTATCCTCCAATTTTAAGGTGAATTTCCCAGAAAATGCTTGTTCTGTAGTTATCTTAGCAATAAATACATGACCATATAAAATATAGTTACTACTTCATAGGTGAAAAAAAACCTGCATAATTAATACTTAAGCCAAGAGCACTATTTACAAAAGTTTCATCCATACTCTTATCTATGCCTGCTCCCTCTGAAGGCAGAAACAGTTCTTTGGATTGAGTCAATATCTCAATATGCTTTGTCCAGGAAAGGGGAAGGTATGAAAATACAAAACAAAAAAGAATATTGGCTCACTGCACCCAAGAGAGGCCAGCCACTAAGAGTTGTCAATAGGATAAAAGGGAAATACTGACCAGGGCTCCTCTGGGTGAATAGTTAATATGTGATAAAAAGGGAAAACAGTATACACATACAAAAACTTTTATGGGCCTTGATAAAAACAGACATTTCTGAAAATATATCAAAATCAGTTCTTTGAGAATTTTCAGAAATGAGATTCACTGAATGACAGGAGCAGAAAAAATGTTAAGATTTCATCTCACTTGTCTAACAATGAACTTCAGAGTAGTTAGGGGACCTGCCTAAGGTCATACTTAATGCCAGAGTCTGCACTAGGACCCAAGTTTCCTGACTTCCAGATGAGTGCTCTTTTTAAAATTTGCTATACTATCTCTTATATGTCCTTAATCACTTGAAGTCTCCCTAACTGTCTCTGACCCACAATGTGCCCCCTGGGGACAGTCAGAGAAAAAGAATTTTGGACCATGTAGACCATTTAGAACTACTAACCTAACAATGGCTGAAATATTTCAAACAATGAGTAGGCTGAAATTCATCAGGGGGTGGGGAGTAGAGAGGAAATACAAAAGAAGGAAATTCTGTAGACAATAAGAGAAGCACAAGAGGAAATATTATCCTCTTTTGTTATTTTATTACTGTTACTTTATTTTGTAGTTAAGTCCATGTATTATATAAAACAGAACAGGAAAAATGAACAAATTTATAAAATAAATTGAAGTGTCTGGATGAAAAAAATACAAGAGCTTTGCCTTCTTGCCTATAGATCTCTTGATGTGTTGTTGGTCTTGCACTTTAGATATCAAATAAAGATATCTAGCTTGAAACATAAGTTGATATGCTGCAAGGTTAAGCCATAGTCTGCGGGTGAGCCAGGAAATGATAGATTTTCTAACTCTTGTCCTTAAATACTGGCTATAACAAATGCTGATATAGCAAAATGCAAGCTTTTATCATCAGACAGCAAGAGGGAAACTTGAATTAATGAATGCAACTTACCTCCAAGTCCTCTGAAAGGAGGTGAAAAAAATAAATACTGTATTTTACCAGTGTTCCCCCAAAAGCATTACTCTAAGCATGCAGGAGGATGCTGTGAGCAGCTACAACAGTAAGATCTAATCCAGAGGTAGGTTCAAGACCAAGAGTAGGAGAGTGGTTGAAGTAATCCTCCTGGGGCCAGTACTATTTCATAGAATGACCATTTGTGTTGGGGAATGAGTCTATGGCCTATCTTTTTCTGACTCAAAAGGACATTCCTAATTTTAACCTTGCTGAAAACGGGCATTTTGCACCTGTTATTAAGAACAGCTAGTATACAGGATAAGGCTGGCATAAAATTATTTAGCAAGCACATGCTAGCTATTCCTGTTTGAAATCTACCAAACTATAAAATCAAGGGGGAAATAAAAAGTTGAAGATGGAGCTGTTGTTCCTCAAGATGAGGGGAAAAAGGTCTTACCAAAAGAGGGATTAGGCACTCACTTAACTCTATATGGAGAACATCCTTCTCAGGCTAGTAGAAGATGAGGAAGAGCATTACCAAAGGCTGACCAGGCCACTGGGAGCCCAAAAGGAAAGGGAAAAAGGCATTTAGGAAGAAAGCTAGAAGAAAATCTTCTGGGTCTAACTAGGTAAGTGAATCTAAGGCAGATGCACCAAAGATATGCTACCCACTATGCCAACATGGAGCTGGTGGTAAAATATCTCAAGACATTTTAAACCCAGAGAAATGTATGAAAAATATGTTAACAAAGCAAATTAAAACCAAACTTCCAAGGGCAAAATCTCCTCAGATATGAAATTGAAGACAGTCACTTTTCATTAATTCTGTGATTAGAAAAAAAATAAAAGTAACAAATGTAAAGATTTGTTTTATTTTCTACTGGGGGAAGAAGGACGATAAATAGAACCGTTTTCCAATTTGCTCTCCACTGTATACATACATACCCACACGCATACACAGACATACACACACCAAAAATACCCAAACAAAAAAAACAGAAAACTGAGAATCAAACACCAAAACACCCTCAAACTGCACCAATACTTCATATTTTGACCAAAAGAATAGATCCTGGGAGGAAGTGCAAAATGCAAAATCAAATGACCGAAAAATGCTGAACAAACAGCATTATTAATATACAAAATATTTATATTACTGAACTAGTAACAGTTGATGTTCTCCATGTCTGTAAAACTTTGGAACCACATTGCTGATTTGTTAAATCTAGTCCATGCCAGCTTCCAAACACCAGAAAAAAATTTTTAGTTAGCTTCATTCTTTGATGCCTCATCAAAATTTTCTACGAGATCTGAAAAAAAAAAAAGTGAGTTAAAGATACAATAAATAAATAAATAAATAAATAAATAAATAAATAAATAAATAAAAAGATGGTAAATGAAATTCCTAACTTGTAGCCCTAATAAAAACCAAATTGTGGCTACTAGAATTAGCCTGAAAACATACAGGACAAGAAGCAGAAATGAATGAACTGATAGTACTTCATTTATCTGCTTTTAAAATGCTAATCCTAAGGAAATGTTAGGGTTTTTTTTGCCTGTGCAAACTACTAAGATGAACAGCATTTTCGTATGTCAATCACAATTCCCACAGAAATGTTTTAACAATAACTATGCAAATTTAAAATCACAGTGATTCTAATTTAACAAATGCAGGCAGCAGAGCTTTATGTGACAATTTCTGATTCTAAGTTCTAAATGAGAGGTCTTTTACTCTTTTTCATTAGATTGTATCCGTGTTTTTATGAGTCAATTTAAATTCATGAGCTCACTATCAACAAAAACTAAAAATCATTATACAGTGAATTAAGTGAGATAAGCAGGCTGCTAAAAATCTTAGAGCTAAAGAAATGTCAGTTACCTGGAACATCATCATCCTCTTCATCAATGTCTTCTGGTTTTGGTGCTTTGCTATCCAACACTACAAAAAATTTATTTTAAAGTTAGTTTAGAACAAAGGCCTTTACAAAACACTTAAAATGTTATTCTTTTCTCTTGTCTAAATCTTACATAGTTCAGAAAAGCTAAAGATTGTCTGATCTAAGACTATACTTTTTACTTACACGGAAATCAGTAACACTTTATTAGGTATATACTAAATATAGCTGTCAATTTCAATGGGCAGTGAAGGTAAAATTTATATGGAAAATGAAATAATTCAGATGGGCAGGAATAAAAAGACATTATAGTTAATTTATTCCCTGAATTCCATATGCTATAAGTCAAAAATCAATATTTAAGATTTTCCATCTCTTCTGGTGTAAGAAAGTATCTAGTTATGTAGTATGGGCACTAATGTAAAAGGTGCTTTGATTTTTAGGGGTAACAAGACACATTTGAAACCAGAGCTATGGTGGAAATTCAGAACTTATGGTTGCCATGGTTGAACTATAGGTTTAGTCAACAATATTAAAAATACAGTTCTGTAATAATATCTTCTTGTCATTAATCAGAAGTGAGTATCAAATACTGTCTATAAAATGTGGTCTGCAGACCTTTTAGGTAATTACCTCTCAACTCTGTATTATCAAAATGTATCCGAATATTCTATATACCACAATGCATAATTATTAAAGAAATAAATTCAAAAATTTATGAAGTATAGAAGCAACATTTTAAAAAGTAAAATTTACATACAAGTAAATTCTTCCAATATCAAATGGGACACCTTTTAAATCATTAGGCTCTTCAAATTAAGGTAGAGAAGGAAAGATACAAACTGAAATACCTACCTTGCCGAGGGAACTGTTCAGCTAACTTCCTAAGGCTTGTTAAGCTGTCAGCACCAAGCTGACTTAATATTCCAGGAAGCATTTCTGTGATTGGTTTGGCTTCTGCATGACCAGTAATTGCAAAGGTGTTAGCAGAAAGGGAAGCTTGGACTTTGGGATTGTTGAAATGAATAACTGTCCCATCATCTTTAATCATGTTCACCTATATGATCATAGAAGAAAAATGTACTTCACATATTTGGTACAACTAAAACAATTGTTTAAATAACAATTTAGCCAATTATGGTTTGTTTGTTTTTTTACAATCCCCAGGTAATAATTGTCTAAGCAGTAGATATGGGTGGAAAAAGACCCTAGCAACAACATAAAATTGTGTAGATGGCATAAATTACTAGGATAGTCAAGAAATAGTCATTTTAGCACCTAGATTTTAAATTTAAAGACTTCTACTATAAGAAGTCCATGCCCAGATTTTAAAAATAATGGAATTATCAGCCAAGAACTGGCTTCTTAATGAAAAACCCATTATCTTGCCCAATTTATACTATATCAAACTAATTTGGTACAAATTCCATTTGGTGGGTGGGGTAGCATCGTATTCAGGTGACAGGTTGTAAAGAGGTGATAGCATACGGTAAAAAATAACCACTGAAAATCCATAAAGAACACTCAGAAATTTAATCAGATGTTTCACTCCTTTGAACACTTAGTAAATTTACAAAAATTTCAAATTGTTCTCATCATGTCATTCTTTGTAAAGGATTTTGTCAGTTCCTCTAACTCTTAAGTATGACTTTTCAACAACCTTCAATAACCCTTATAAAGATCAAAGAAGCTCTCTAACTCACTTGCCTGGCCACCTGAACATGCTTTATCAATTAATGGGAAACCTTTAAAACCATCCTCACATTCTTTTGGTAGCTTTCACCAACATGAATTGACTATTTCAAATTGGACTTTATCCATTGCTTGAAAAGGAAAGTTAAACATGCACTATCTAAATTATTTTTATCTCTCACTCATTCACTTTCTTACTGTGTTTTAGTAGAGTTGAATTTGCATGAGTTAATAAGGGTGTAAAAAATGTGATTCCACTAGTAGTTGATTCCACTGGGTAAGTTACCTTGATGGTAACATGCTTATTATATAAAAAGGTTAGGAGAGTTAACTCTTGACTACTTTAGAAGCATTTCATGATCCAAAAACTGCCTTTGTCACAATCAAGAAGAGATGCTGAGTGTTCTCCATGGTCAGTGGGAAGTGGGCTTTTCTTCCTCAAAGTGATCACCACGACTGATAGCACCAGAAAGGAAGAGGAACAAAGGGGCTTCTAAATTTCAGGCAAGACCTGGAACACAGAGAAAATAAGGCAAATCCCCTGGAAAATTGTAACTGAGCTCTACAAATAATTTCCCAAATTTTCTCTCACAAAAATCACAATTTGAATTCTCTACCCTTCCCTGTATCTCTATTATAATTAAGGTTCTATTACACATATTAGATACAGTAAGGATTCAATCCAGCTGTTCTGAATAAATACCATTGTGAATTAAAAATAAAACTTTAAAAAGATTTTATTTGAGAGAGAAAGAGAAAGATCACAAGCAAGGGGGAGGGGCAGAAGGAGAAGCAGACTCCCCAGCTGAGCAGGGAGCCTGACACAGGATTCCGTCTTAGGACCCTGAGATCGTGACCTGACCTGAAGGCAGATGCTTAACTGAGTCACCCAGGTGTCTTAAAATTTATATTGGCTTTAAAAAAGATATAGTTTTGAAGATAATTATAGTTTAGGTAGAAAAGTTTAATAGTAAAGCAGCTGAAAATCGGAAGAGGAGTGATTTGAGAAGGAGGTGGCATAGTGGATATGGAATGGAATGTTGTTCTGTATCTACCCTAGTGTCACATTATCTAGTTTGGGAAAAGAATAAGGATATAGTAGGACTTTACATTCCAAATCAAGACCAAATCTCTGTAATACATCCAGGCATGAAACGAATCTGAAATACTAGAATTTGAGATATTTGTTATGTTTAAGTCATAAGAAATTTGAAATCAATACTCCTCCAGAAGTCAGGCCATATATTTGTTGAACTTAAAGAGGCTTTCTAATTCAAATGTCTTATCAGACAAATAAATACTAAAGATAAGAGCTCTTGGTTAAGCAACATATCCAAGGACAGTAGCTAGTTACATGCAAACCTAGAACTTGAACCTGGGGTCCTAACTTTGTTTAGTTTACTTCCTGTGATATCATTTTCATTCTTAGAAATGTTTATTTGCCTATAAAAATTCAATTCTATGGCCCCATGAAAGTTTGCCAGAGAATTATTTATCTCAGAATAAAGGCTTAATGGAGAAAGCAAAAAAACTCAACACATATACGGATAATATATATCTTACTGGCTATGAAACAAGAAGCTAACACAAGCCCCTCTCCCCTGCCTTGTATCATGCATTTTCCTATTTAAGCTTCTTTACCAAAGGCTAAATGTTAAGTCATATTTTACGACCTAATATAGGTCTTTGTAGTTTAAAATATGTTGGGTTTAGTGTGAAAAGCAGGATGAATTCCATCTCAGACTGTGAAACACAAATACATTTATAAATAGTTGTTTTAAATGGGGTTGCACAAAAGATGTAGCTTCATGAATAGAAAGGTCCAGAAAAGGGTGGAGAGTTTAATTTTAGATTAGAGAATGAAGTATTAGAAGTTAAAGGCCAGAATATTTTATTTCCATCTACCATTCTTTCCTCTCTACTGAGCAAATAACATGGTTATGTAAGACTCCTAGATGCAAGCTATTAGAGGAGATGATCAAAGGATGAATTGTTGGGCTGAGCAAGATCAGTTAGACACTTCCCCCACACCCTTTTAGAGGCAAAGAAGGGATAAGGAATTTGTTAAATTCACAAAGCAAACTGTGTGCATTTCATATGGAGACTTCACTTTTTCCGGTTATTTTACTGCTGGTTAACACAAGTAATACAATCTATATACAGTATAAAGATAAGAAGCAGACAAGGAAACAAAGACTATTAAACCAGCTACTGTACCAGCTTAGGTCTTTTTCCAATCAAACAGCCCCTTTATATAAAAATGCTTTTTCCTAGGGCAGCCCGGGGGCTCAGTGGTTTAGTGCCGCCTCCAGCCCAGGGTATGATCCTGGAGACCTGGGATCGAGTCCCACGTCAGGCTCCCTGCTTGGAGCCTGCTTCTCCCTCTGCCTGTGTCTTTGCCTCTCTTTCTCTCTCCTTCTGTCTCTCGCTTTCTCTGTGTGTCTCTCATGAATAAATAAATAAAATCTTTAAAAAAAATGTTTTTTCCACTTCAACAGGAAGCTGAAGGTAAAGGATACTACTTGAACTATGGAGGAAGCAGCATTTTTGAGACCCCAATCCACACCACCTGATGCCCTTGCTCTTATTTTTTGCTCAAATAATACTGACATGTCCTATAGTTACCAAAAACTATTTTCTCTCTCATGCCCAGTACATTTACATATGCTGTTTTCACTGTTTAGAAGAAACTTTCTGCTTCTCCATCTGCAGATTCTCATTTATCCAAGACTTGGGTCAGATGCTTCTTCCTCTATGAAAATTTAGGGTTATTTATGTACTTTCTGCACTTCATGGGAATTGGAATTATATAGAAATGTCTTTAAAAAAAAAAAAAGAAATGTCTTGTAGTATAATTGTGTTTGCAAGTCTGACTTTATTAGGTGAATACCTTCTGATCAGAGACCATGCCCTACTAGACATAGTATGCCCCCAAGTGTCCAGTACATAATAGTCACTCAAATTTGCCAAATGAATGGACACCTCAAATACAATTTATTTTAAAATATGGATGCTGTCAGACTTCAACTCCCCAAATGCTAGATGAGGGATCATTTCAAGTTTTAGAAATTGCTCCAGTAGTACTCTTAATGAAGATGCATAGAACCTCCTGAGCTGTATCTTTGGCTTGACTTTTTCTATTGTTCTGACTTTTCAGAATCAGTGTGAATGCCCAACAGAATTCAGGGGCATTTTAAGTCATTCTTGGCAACTGCTGGGTGGCCCCATTATGCTATCAAAACCTTATGCCTTTGGTGAACCCTGATTGGGGCACATGTATTAATCACAGCAACCTTCTATCTGGTAAATCTGATGCTTGCTTTATTCCTACCCAGCAATAAGTTTTTATGGCTTTTGGAGGCTCACAAAGTTATCCTCAACTCTACAGCTCGCAGACAACTGCCTTCTCAGTTCAGAGAGGAAATTTAAATTCTTCCATGTGGTATGTATGTATGTATGTATGTATTTATTTATTTATGATAGTCACACACAGAGAGAGAGAGAGGCAGAGACACAGGCAGAGGGAAAAGCAGGCTCCATGCACCGGGAGCCCGACGTGGGATTCGATCCCGGGTCTCCAGGATCGCACCCTGGGCCAAAGGCAGGCGCCAAACCACTGCGCCACCCAGGGATCCCTATGTGGTATTTTTTGTATCCAAGTCCCCACTAGGCCAGCTAGCTGCAGTTCTGAGAATTGACAGTTGTCTTAAAAATCAAGTTTTACTGATACTCCTTCCTGTATGTAGTGGCATTTATCTATTTATTTTTAAAAGACTGTATTTTTAAGTAATTTCCACATCCAATGTGGGGCTTGAATTCATGACTCCAAGATCAAGAGTTGTATGCTCTATCAACTGAGCCAGCCAGCTGCTCCTGTAATGGCATTTAAATGTTTATCAGGAAATTAATCTTTTGTTGCCTTACTCCCTTATCTTAATGGGGTAAAATGATAGACATTTTAAGAATAAAGCACACAAGTGTCTGTGGTTTTGTGAAGCTAAGGGATGTAAGAGTTTGAAGATTATGGGCTTGGCACATACTTCCATAAGTCAGTTTCTTTCACATTCAATCCTTCTAAGCTCAGCACTTGCTTATTTCTAAAGGCTTGTATGAAGCATAACCTATTATTGTCGATATGAGCTACAGCTAACAGCTGTCATTAAATTGTATGATATGCTGGGATCATTTTCTCTTATGTGCTGGTGGCAAGAGTCTGATGAGATGGATTCTTCACAGCTATGCAGTAGATACTATAAAATGGTATAACCTTTTGAAAAGCAATTTGGTAACATGGATGAGGAATTCTAAAATGTAAAAAAAAAGGAATTCTAAAATGTTCATGCTCATTCAGCCAGTAACTGTATT